AACAAATAAGCTTTGTCAGATACTATTTTCTTCATAGACAATTTATTGATATAAAAAAAAAATCAATGATAGAGAAGAAATTGACAATCCAAAGAATTTGAAATATTTTACACATACTAGTCGAAGTGTAAGCTTTGCGTATGTTAAGTTTCAAGTCAGAATTTGATAATAAAATTTTATTAATAATGTGAAATCTTATTGAAGAGCGCAGCGGAATCAAGATTCTATGAGCTTGAATCTTATGAAAGTGTATTCAGTAGAAATTTAATAGCTCGGTTGATACGCAACAAGGACACGAACCCTTTGGAAACTGTTCTAGTCTAGTGATTCCGTACTAATGGTCAATATTTTTTGTATTGCTGGCAAGAATGATTACTGTGAACATGACTTTTCAATTTCTTCCATACAAATAAAAACTAAGATCTCTCCTCTATCACAAGAAAAAAAAAGAATAAACTAATTTGGTTAAAACACGATATAAATATTCAAATTCTTTTTTTTTGATAGGTAACTTTTATGATATTCTGTACCCTGTTTTACTTATGGATTTTTTCTGATATTCAGTTAGAATAAAAATATTTGTATATTCCTTACATACAAAAAAAACTGAATCCAGTTCACCATTACCTTAAAGAGTTCATTTTAGAAAGTTCCTCACTTTATCGAATGTAACAGTGAAGAATATGATCATATTATAAATATATTGCAATGGCTGGCTCTATAGAACGGTCATCTCCTCTTATAAGGGAACGTTTTCAACTGATCAATCGCTTTTGAATTCGGACTCAGTGCATAAGACAGACAACAATGAGATATGAAAAACCTCAAAAGAATAAGTTCACTTAGATGTTCTCTTCAGATTTATAGATATTTTATTAGAATTTTAATCGATCTAAGATTTTGCCTATAAACAAGTCTATTTGTTAGTAGAATATCCTGAAAATTTCAGCTGAAAAGAAAATTTCTTTCTAGAGATATTAATATCTCGGGAAGGAAATATTCTTTTGAACTGACATTTTCAGAACATTCCACTAACAAATAGACTTGTTTGTGAGTAAAACCTCAGATCGAAATTTCGCCATTCGATTTGTTGGTATATACTAAGTCAGAGGCTAAAATTCTAATAAAATGTCTATAACTCTGGACAGTAGGCCTAAGGGAACTTATCGTTTTGAGGTTTTTCATATCTCATTGGTGTCTACCTTATGCACTCAGTCCGAATTAAAAATCGATTAATCGGTTGAAAGCACTCCTTCGTTAGTATGAAGGTGGTATCATTATAATAGACTCATCATGTGTCCGAAGCACGAAATACAAATCAGTAGTAAATCTAATACTCAATAATTAAAATAAGTCAGTATGTTTTGAGAGTATACATTAAGAACAATTGTCTTCCTTCTTTTCTAAACTTCATTTTACAAGAGAATACTATGTCAGATAAACGTCAAACGGTAAATTTTGTTTTAATTATATCCACTCAAAATCTAATATTGTTTTCAATTAAATAAAAATTTACTTTAAGTTGTAATTTTTCTATTGTCATATTCGCACTTGATAATTCATCTTTTGCATGACGAAATTGAGTTTCAGCACGTTTTAAATCTCTTAATAATCTTTCTTTTTGTTTTTGTATTTTTGCATGTTGTTCACGAATTTGTTTACCCATTTGTATTGTACTTTTTACAGCTTCCGTAGATTGACGTCTGTACAAAAAAAAAAAAAAAAAACATGAAATTTTTTTTTTTAATAATATATTTGAAAAAAAGAAATATTTTTTTTTAAATTTTACTCGTCTATTTGTCCTTTGGCTAATTTAGCTTCTTCAAATGCAATTAAATTTAAAACATTTTTTATTTCTTCATTTAATTTATCATTTTGTTGATTTTGTTGATCATTTAATCTTATTTCTTTTGTTGATAAAGATTTCATTTTTTCAATATCATCTCGAAGTTGTTGAATAGAATTCATTTGTTCTTTTAATTGTACATCCATATCTTCAATTTCTTGTTCAGTTTGACTAAAAGAAAAAATAAACAATAATTAATTAATATCTTTTTTTTTTTTATTCAATTAATATTTAAAAAGCAGCGAATCAGCAAATTTATACAGACGCTTAAGTTTTAATTAAAAATCTTCTAAAATCTGTAGGAATAGATAATTTTTTTCTAAATAATTTTCATATTTAAAACAAAAGAAAAATAATAAAAATCTTACTCTCGTTGAAGTGAAAGACTATCAGTTTGTTTAATTAATTCAGCTGGTCGTAATGTTACTTGAATATATTCCGACTTGAAATAAAAAGAAATAACTAATAGAAAAATAAAATGAAATGAAAAGAAATTTACTTCAAGCGTTTCAATTGTATGTTTAAGTTCATCATATTGTTTTGTTGTAATAGTAAATCTTTTTCTTTTATCTCCTAATAAAATATTTTGATCATTAATTTCAGATTTTTTTTGTCCAATTTGTCGTTTTAATTCATCACATTCTTTACGTAAATTTTTAAGTTTTTCATCAATATCATGTTGATTTGGTATTCGAGCTTTTTCCTTTTCTAAAGCACGTTTATCTTCTTCCAAACTAGAGAATTAAAAATAAGTTTAAGTTTTTTTTTTTTTTTGTTAAATAATATTTACGCTTTTATTTTATATTCAAGATCAAATAAACGTTCATTAGTACATGCTAAATCATTACTATATTTAAGTAAATCTTTTCGTCGTTGTTGAACTTCAGTTGTAATTTTATCTGGAAATGATTCACCTTCTTCTAATATACGTTTTTGTTTTTCAATTTGAGCTAAATATGTATGTTCTTCTTGTCGTAATCGAGCTTCAGCTTGACGTGATCTAAATTAAATAAACGACAAAAAAAAAACAAATTGATAGATCTTTTGTTTTTATTTTACTGTGTTAAAGCATTTTGTAAATCAATATATTTCGATTTAAGTAATGCCATTTGTGTGCCAGTCAGAACTCCTTCTTTAAATAACTTTAAAGATAGAAAATGATAAAAATAAAGATATTTTAGTTTTTATTTTATACTTCTTCAAGTGTACGAAAAGCAGGTGTACCAGATTGATGTCTTTCTTGTTCATCAACATCAATTTCATTGGGTGGTTGAGCTTCAATTGGTTCGATATCTTCATATTCTCCTAATTGTTGTTGATTTGATACTTCAACATCTGCATCATCTGTAACAAAAGCATTTTGTTGTTGAACATCTAAATTTTCTTCAACTTGTTGATCTAAATCTTGATCTTGTTCATCTTGAGAAAGATCTTCATCTTCATCACTATGATTACTCATTTTGATAGAATTAAGCTAAATGAGAAACAAAAAATAGATATATAGATAGATTATAATCGATTTATAAATATCAATGAATGTTTAGTTGAAGTACGTCATAAAATGCAACGACCATTTTATATGTTTGTTGATATGGAAACACACCAGATATAAAAATTATTGAATACTGACTAAGAAAAAAATAATCAATGTTTTTTTGTTTTAATAAAGATTAAAATATCAATAAAAATTAAGGTTTAGTTTGAAAAAGATTTCATAAGATATAGAATGATGTCGCTAATAGTTAGTGCAACGTTCTAAAAAATAGAATATTTACTTTTCTCAGATTGCATGTTAGAATTCGTTCAGGATTTATCGTGAATAAAATATGATTTTTTTTTCTTGTTTACATGATAAACATAGTAATAAAAAAAGTACATAAGTCGGTTTATTTTTTGTCAAATTATTAGAGTTGAGATCAGAGTTCTCAATGGATTGGGTCGAACTTTTTTGGGATAGAAAATCATGGACTAGACCGAAGAAATTTTCAAAAGATGTTGCACATTTTCACTAAATCATTTTTTCAAAAATCCCCATGTAAATATTCCAATTTGCCAAAAAATATTTCTGCAATGAACAGCAAATATATAAAATCAAAAGATAATATTATCGTCACCTTAACAAAACTTTCTTTATATTTAAGAGGATGACCTTGTCTAACTCTGTCCTCATTTATCAACAAATACGACATTATCGTCCATTACTTGTCTAATTCTAAATGCTATTCTTCTTGTCAATCATCAATTTTTGTTTATACTTTTCCTTCAATTACCAATGCTAGTTCATCATATTCCGTATACAAAACAGTATACATCTAAACAGATGAAATTTCTTTTAAAATAGCAACAATCACAACATGTGTTGTTATTAAAAATGAAAAAGCAAACACATACTTATTTTAAATAATTTTTCATATTTCAAGTAAAAAAATCAGCAAATACTGATGAATTCCAGAGAAATGACAACCTTGCAAGTTGTCATATATGTTACCGAACATTTGTTTATACATCAACTACTGGTACGTGAAATATGCTTGGACATTCGTATGTTAGAAATTTATTCAATGCAATCAGATGAGTAATTCATAGTTGGATCGAGCCAAAGGTCGATAACCCATAGCCTGGTTTTCTTCGGCTCAGCCCAGCCTATTGAGACCTCTGATTAGGATTGATTCGTGTTGTTCTTTGTTTTTTGTTAAATCAAACCAATCTCAGTTATACAAATTATCGGACAGTGTCCGTCTGAATTAAAAATCTTCATCTTACATAAGATTTCATTAAGAATATAAAGATTAATAAAATAATTTTATCTAACTAATAGAAAAATGAATAAAACAGTTGCTATTTAATAGGTTCTATACTAATTAGTTTACAGAAACTTAAGGAAATAATTGAACATTCAACGTTTTTTAAGAATAATTATTTTATTTAAGTGAAATTTCAAATCTTATCATTTGATTAGTTACTATTTTCCTTTGGCTAGATTTTTTAAAATTAAAAAGTTAATTTATTATCATAAGGTAAATAAGTTACAATATGAGGAAAAAAAAGGACAATAGTCAGTTTAATAAAAAAAGAAAAAAAAAATTTCAAAAGTCTGATTGTCCATATGTTGAATACTCAATTTGTGCAGGATTTGTATCTTCATCAGTAAATTCCAAATGACGAAAAGCTTCCGGTGATACAAAAGATGTTTCATCAACACCTTCCGGTTCATCATAATTACCTTGTTTTCTTTCTCCACCTTTAAATTCAAGATGACGAAATGCATCTGGTTGAACATAAGATTTTGTATCAATTGATGGACCAACTGATGAATGTACAGAAGTATGAGATGTATCATCACTCATACCTTCAAGATATTTAAATGCTTGTGGATTAACAAATGATCGTTCATCTACACCACCTTCTGCTTTATCATTTGGTAGATTTCTTGATTTACGTTCAAGATGAGCAAGAGCATTTGGATTTCGTTCAAGTATAAAACTTCGTGTATCAATTTCTGGTTCACATATATCACTTTTCTTTTCTGGTCGACGATCAATATATTGAAAAGCTTGTGGATTAACATAAGAACGTTCATCAACATCAGGACCTTCATCAACACGACGTTTTGGTTCTGGTCGTTCAATCCATTTAAATGCTTGAGGATCAACAATAGGTCGATAATCAATAGTTGATTGAATTGGTTCAGATTTAGGTTGTTCTTTTTTTTCAATCCATTTAAATGCTTGTGGATCAACAATAGGTCGATAATCAATAGTTGATTCAGTTAGTTCAGATTTAGGTGGTTCTTTTTTTTCAATCCATTTAAATGCTTGTGGATTAACCATTGATGTTGTATCAACACCTGATTCAACATTACGACGAGGTGGAGGACCACGTTGTTCCAAATAACGAAAAGCATCTGGATTAACAATTGGTTGATTATCAATACCACTTTCATCTTTATCTTTTGGTAAATTTTCTCGTCGTTTTTCTAAATATTTAAATGCATCAGGATTGATTATTGGTCGTGTATCAATTGATGGTTCACTTGAAATATTTGATGGTTTATGTTGACGTCGTGCTTCCAAATCTCTTTAGTAAATTTTCTAAAATATAATTTCTATATTATGAATAATGAAAACCTACTTTATTGCATCAAGATTAGTTATTGGTCTATCATCGATTCCACTCATAACACCTTGACCTTGTTGTTCATTATCTTTATTCTTATTTGTCTTAGCTTCGATATAACGAAAAGCATTTGCATCTACAATTGGTCTTTCATCAATACCTGCACCTGCTCCATCATCACCACGTAATCGATTATTTTTTTCAATTTGTTGCTGTCGACGTTTTTCCAATTGTGTAACAGCATCAAGATTAATAATTGGTCGTGTATCAACTCCACCTTCACTTGATGCTGGTTTCTTTTGAACTTTTTTATCACTTATATTTAAATATTGAAATGCACGTGGATCAATTATTGGTGCATCATCAATTTCTCCGCGTGTTTCTTTTTTAGCAAAAAGACTTTCTCTACCAAATGTAGCATATTGAGATAGTGATGGTGGTGCTGGATTTACTTTTAATGCTGGATTAATATTACGTGATGGTGTACCAGGATTTTTATTATGATACATGCCTGTTGTTTGAGCTTGTACAGCACGAGCATTGCCATAACCAAAATTTGAATTTTTTAATTCAATATATTGTGGTTGATTATATTGTGTAGTTGGCACAGGATTTATTGAACGTCGTTCAACATAAAGAGATGATGGTATTGAATAGTTTTGAGTATTTGGAGTAGTATAAAGTTGTGTTCGATAGGCTGGTAGAGTTAATGCAGGATTTGATGCACGTCGTTCACCTTGATAAGTTTGTGGATTTGAAGTACGTCGTTCATCTTGATGAGTTTGTGGACTTGAATAACCTTGATTTATTTGATTGTTTCCATAGTTCATAGATTGACTATTAGATCTTGTTGACCCTTGTGGATATTGGTAACTACCAGCACCAGTATACGTTGACGACATTGTTTTAATGTGTATAGTAATGGGAATAGACAAAAAACAACAGAACAGCCATGCAGATCTAAAGAAGAAAATTATCGATGTATCATTCTGTCTTTTTCCCTCTCTCTCTGTATATATATATATATCAACGTTTTTCTCTTTTCTCTTCTGTAGGTTGCCGATGTATATATGTATGGCAGTACGCGTCAAATTAGGCTTTCTGAATAAGCTAAAAAGGAATCGAACAACTGCTTAGCTGATCTGTATTTGTTGATGCAATGTTTTGGCTCTAAAAGAATATTATAGGAAATAGAAGTTGCGCATTTACTTTCTTGCTGCGATATGAAAGGATCATTCTGTCGTATTCTAGTTAGGGAAGACATTCGATCAAGATTGTTTTTGTTGTTGTTATTGATTATATACCAAGGAGAATAGCTAAAACTTTTTTTGCCTAATGGCAAGTACCATGAAATATTATTCTTGTCTGGCATTAAAACGATTTAGTGTACATCAAGAATATCTAAAGTGTTTATCGTCTAGTGTGAAATTTCATTCATTATACGTTTTGTTTAATAATCTTGAAATCACCCTAGATAATTATCTAGACAAAAATAAACAATATCTTTTAACTGATCGAAACATACGAATCACGTAATACTATGAATAATGCTCAAGGATACTAACGCAAAAAAAATCTATGGTTTTCCAAAAATGAAGTATTACGTGTTTATTGTTAGACTTTTATTGACTGAGACAATATATATATATATATATATACATGATATAGATTGTATTGATGTTAGCTATTTTATACACATAAACTTTAAAAACAGACAAATATGTAATGTTTGATTTCTGACAATACAATAAATGCAGACTCAATCATTTAATATTTATACGATGATAATGTCCTATATAATAGCAAATTATAAGTAAAAAAAAATATTGCTATTAAACAACAACGAGTTAACTAGATGACCTGTTCTGACAGAATCAATTATATTATAAATATATTTATCTAAATAAAGAATTTCACTGGAATCGGTATTGTTGTAAAAATATATCTCTATAGAGATAAGATAAGGCACGAACAAAGAATAATCCTATGATATATATATATGAATAACCTTTGCAACATTAGTTGAATATAATTTTCTTTTCTAAGATAAATGGTTTATTTAATTATATAATTCTTTTTTTTCTAAAAATACTTATTACGACAATAATTTTTGTTCTATTTTTTTCCGGATATTCAGTACTTTTTTTTCTGTTAAAAAACATCGATTTAAACATTTTCAACAAACATATGTAAATACTTTTCAAGTTACTTCGTATGACTTTTTTTTTTATTATAGATGTAATACGTATTGAACTTGATATTATCTTGCTGTCGTTTTCATTATTTATCGTTTCTTATCTACATATACAAATGAATTTTCGCTTTTATAAAAAGTGTCTATAG